AAAATATATATTTATTTAAATTTTAAATATAATTTATATATTCAAATATAATATTTATTTATATACATAATTTATTATAAATTTTAATTATATATAATAAAAATTTAACTTGTGTATTGCATAGGATAAAATATTAGCTTCAATTGTAGCACCATATTATTTTAATTTATTGATATTTTATTTTTAAAATATTAAAATTTAATTTATAAATAATTGTGATAAATAAAAACTAAATTAGATATGTAATTAAAAAAATTCTTAAAAATGTTCTCACACAAGATAGTTGTTTGTGTTTAGTATACATATGTTAATTAAAATAAGAAAATAGTAAGATACAATGATAATTTAACCTTTTTATATAAATACGAATGATTATCTTATGAGAGTATTTATAGAGACTATTCTTCAACAAACAAATTTCTATGAATTCTACTAAATTCTTATCCAATTTTGTTTTTTTTTACATATCATATTTATTTATTAATTAAATTTTAATATTTAAAAATAAATTATTAATAATTAAAAATAATTGTATACACCACAATATAAACCGGGCTAAATTGTATGTTTAGTTTCTTTATTCTTGTCAATCCGCAACTTTAGTCCTTCTATTTTAAAATATGGATATTTAGTCTTCTTAATTTTTAAAAATACTAAATTTTGATCATACTGTCAATTTGATATTTGTTAATTGTTAATTTTAATGTTCTTTACTGATTTATCATCAGTAATGGATGTGTTACTATTATGTTACATATTGAGATAAAAAAATTAGAAAATAACATACAAGCAACTTTGTTTGTATATATTTTAGCGAGTAATTGGTTTTTTATTTTATTAATAATTTGTATTTATATTTTTAATTTTTTTTATTTTTAAATATCATATTACTAAATGTCACATCATTTAAATATGGTTAAATGTTAAAACTCAATTATTAATAGATATTAATTTGATGAGAGGACCAAAATTCCATATTTTTAAAAATAGGAAGACTAAATGTCTCTACTTTAAAATAGAGAGACCAAAATTGTGGATTAACAATAATAAAGAGACCAAAAATGTAATTTAACCTATAAATTTTTTTATCTTAAATTCAAAATATAATTTATATATTTAAAAATATCTATTTATATAAATTTTAAATTTAATTTATATATTCAAGTATTATATTTATTTGTACATATAATAAACATTTAACTTGTGAAATACAAATGCTAAAAAACTAATAAAAAATATTCATAGACATTTGTGAAGAAATCTGACTAGAATAAAGAATTATCACTATTGATAATAGATAAACTAATTTTTATTTAAGTGATAAATGATAAACTAAAATATGTATTGTTTCTGGTTGAATATGCTCTAATTACACTTTTTTTAGTGTATAAAGGTAATATCGAGATTGAAATCTATAACTTTGTGCATATTATTTAAATTTATATCATTAGATCAACCTTAATGTGTGCTTTAAATTTTAGATATTAAAAGTTGCAAACACATTATTGAGAATTTTATTTGATGGTTTTTTAACATTTTGAAGGAATTTTTTGATGGTCAAGAATTATTTATGGTCATTATTTATGTTCAATGAATAATTGTTATAGTTAACAAAGAGAGTTCTATCGCTAACATGAGTTTCTTTTATAAAAAAAATCTCTCTAAGATACAAGTCTAAAAAGTGGATTTGGTAACAAGAGTCCTTTCTAGAGAACTTTTTCTTACATCTCATCCTATTGTTGTAACACTTCTAAGTCAACCCTAATCAACTTTAAGCTCTCCTATTATTGAGACTACTACTCCAATTAATTTAATGAAGGTCAACCAAGTAAAATGTTATAAGATGACTATGTATTCACCACTAAAAATCATTTGACAATTCACCAAAAGTCGTTTTAAGTTGGCATGGTCTTGTGCCTTTCTTTGATCATGTAAAAAATCAACTATAGCTTTGATGTAAGTTTCCAATCAAGTTATGGGAATTTTCAGCCCCACACAAATGCATCCCAATAAATGACATTTGTTGAGCTCCCTTGATCTACAAATGTCCTATTCACATTGAACTCCATAATTGTCACGATTACAACAAAACTATGGTCATCCATAACCACATCCTTAAAGTCATCATCAAAAATAGATATTTCAAGAGATGAAGCAATTGACCGAGTTTTTACTATCATAACCAACATATCATATCATTTGCAAGTAGACAACATAAATCTTCCATTATTTGTAAAGCCTTTAACAATAATATTGAAATCTTTCAAAAATCGTCTAGTAGTATTCTCCAATTGAAAGGATTATTGAATTTTTTTTCATACATAACAAAATTCAAATTGGTTAAGATAAATTTTCAACACATAATCTAAAATATGATCCAATCCAATTAAAATAAATAAAATTATTTTTTCTAATGCAATTCTTTCGTTTTATTTAAATAGATTGACTGCTTAGCACTTCTAGCTAATAGTCATTGTTTTGATACTTAAACACGAAATCCCATTCTAAAATTCTTGTACATTAATTGTTGGAATGGTATGTACAAACTTAATATTTTTTTTTTTGAAACCAAATCATATTTTAAGAATTGGTGTAATACTCATTTAAATAATGCTTATTACAGTAATTAGTGATTGTCACTAATTTTGTATGGATATTGATACATAACAGTAATTAGTGTAGTTCCTGCTTATTGTTGCCGCTATCTTATATCCAATGCGTATTTATTTATCCAAAATAAAAAATCGTATCAATTTATATTTAAAACTCTTTAATATTAATAAGAAATATATCACAAGAGGTGTCGTGGTGTAGTTGGTTATCACGTCAGTCTAACACTCTGAAGGTCTCCGGTTCGAGTCCGGGCGACGCCACTTTTTGAGTTTATTTTCATTTTACGTTTAAAATAAAATATAGGAATTATGTATAACGACATGAATGAAGGTAATTCAAAGTATGGTTGTATATAGTTTTTTTTTTGTTCATTTATTCATTTTAAGAATAATAAAATTTAAAAATTAACTGCTATTAAAGTATTAATTAAGTAATATCGGAGTATCCAAAAATCATTCCACATGGCATTGATTAACATATAAAACTTTTAATTGAATATTTTTATATCGTTCCGAAAAAATAATTTCATGAAATGAAAAA